TCCGTGTCTCCCACCACAAGCTTTTCACATTCTTTCTGGGCTTTAGCTCGTGGTCATCCTTGTGCCATAATGGCAGGGGGGGTTAGTGAAACTGAGCCAAGGGCACACAAAGAAAAGAGGGAAGATAGCGGCTCTGGATGTCGCAGAGCTTCCTTCAGTAGCTAACTCCATAGTGTTAAGATCCTACACCTGGGTTGGAGCAATCCCAGGCACAGCTACAGGTTGGGCAGAAAAGAGATTCAGAACAGCCCTCAACATAAAAAGACATGGAACTGTTGGAACAAGTCCAGAGGAGGGCCACGAGGATGATCAGGGGACTGGAGCACCTCCCGTATGAAGACAGGCTGAGGAAGCTGGGGCTGTTCAGCCTGGAGAAGAGAAGGCTGCGTGGAGACCTCATAGCAGCCTTCCAGTATCTGAAGGGGGCTATAGGGATGCTGGGGAGGGACTCTTCATTAGGGACTGTAGTGATAGGACAAGGGGTAACGGATTTAAACTTGAACAGGGGAAGTTTAGATTGGATATAAGGAAGAAGTTCTTTACTGTGAGGGTGGTGAGGCACTGGAATGGGTTGCCCAGGGAAGCTGTGAATGCTCCATCCCTGGCAGTGTTCAAGACCAGGTTGGACAGAGCCTTGGGTGACATGGTTTAGTGTGAGGTGTCCCTGCCCATGGCAGGGGGGTAGGAACTAGATGATCTTAAGGTCCTTTCCAGCCCTAACTATTCTATGATTCTATGACTCTATGCTGCTTACAGAAGGTTTCCCTGTATCCATATAAAGTAATTTTGAAGGAAAAATACTTTCCCAGCAACTTCGGAGACTGGGGTGGGTCTATTTTCAGACTTGCAAGAGCTTGTGAGAGTGAACAGTGTCTGCCTTTGACTTTGATTTGCTGTTTTGCAGGGAGTGTTCCCAAGTGGCTCAGCAATGCAGTACTTAGGAGGGCTGGCTGGGAACCAAACTGTTGCCCGTGCAAGCTTCAGCATGTGGTACACAGCTTTGTATGTTCATGGTCAGGACTTCCCGTGCCAGAGCATACCCCACGGTGCTTAATATTAAGCTTATTTTTGCCTTTAATGACGTACCTGTAGCCCCCTTGATTTTATCACCAAAGTTACTGCTCTGCTTGCTGGGGTGTGATTAATCTGTGTGTGTGTGAACACCAAAGTAAGATCAGTGAGGACCAGCTAACCCTGAGCTGTGATAGAACATCCAGGTACCAGTGAGGGTGGGCTGGGAGATGCCATATCTCTGTCTGCTGTGGATGAGCAGAGAGGAGGTGCCCGGTGAAGGAGGGGTGTTGGGAACAGATGCCAAATGATAGCCTCATCCAGGAAGTCACAGGCTTTGCCATGTAACCACATAACAGCAATGGGAAGTCCTTTCCAGCTGCTGCTTTTGACATAATGCAGGATGTCAGCTCCCTGTGATCTGCAGAAGCAGCACAGCCTGTGCTTTTCAGGCTCATTTCACCTCTCCTGGGGTGAATAAGCTTGTTGGCTCTGTAAATAAAACCCCTTCCCAGGCCAGGGACAGCTATTTGTCTTACAAACAATGGGCAGAGCAGGGAGGAAATGCTTGAAGTGCCTGCAGACAGCAGCTGATCTCCATCCGCAGTCTGCAACTGTCCTCTTGGGCAAGGAGCTCCTGAGCACTAGAGTAAGTGCTGGCAGGGACCATCCTGTACATCCACAGATCCTGTACATCCACAGTGCTCCTGGCTCAGGAGAGACCACGCAGCCACATTGGTGGTGGTGACCATTATCATTAGCAGGTGCAACCCATGAGTCCCCATCCTGAAGGAAGCACACAGAGAAAGATTCCCCTTTGTGGGCAGTGCAGCAAATAGAGCAGCAAGGCCTCTAAGATGCAGGATGTAGGATGAGGGCCAGTTGGCTCCTTGCTGGCAGGAATCACGTCATCTGCTCCGCACAGGGTGGGCTTGGTTCCAGTCCTGCTGAACGCATGGTGGCCTTGCTTCCTTCACAAAGACCCTGGGAGCAAGAGGGGTGACTTGCAGGAGGGAATGTCCTCACATCCTCTGAAGTCCCTGCAAGGCTCAGACATCCCCTGCTGCTCCTCCTGTGGCAGGTTGCCATATCCTTTGTCCATCTCTGGCTGCTTCAGGGGGCTGTGGGAGAGAGCGTGAGTGGGACCAACACAGACAGCACTCAGGTGCCATGTACCTGGGTGTCAGCTCACTGTGGTGGAGGTCCAGCTGCTGCTGTGGCCTGTCGTGATTTGACTTTATATCTGCTGACTTCTTGGCCTTTCTCATTTGTTTTTAGTGGAGGAAGAAGCCCAGCTCTAGAGTTTTGGCTGTCTGGATTCAAGTCAAATATCTCAAGAGACAACACTGACTCTTCCCATGACACTGCTGCATCTCCTGGGATGTGCATTCTTTCCTGACCTCAGGGCTGTGCCAGATAGAGGCAGAGGCATGTGAATGCTCCCAGTTCATTTTGCAGCCAAAGGCAGAGTCTCACGTTCCTGCTGGTTAGATGAGGATGTACTTCCTGGGGGAATGGGTTTAAACTTGAACAGGGGAAGTTTAAATTGGATATAAGGAAGAAGTTCTTTACTGTAACGGTGGTGAGGCACTGGAATGGGTTGCCCAGGGAAGTTGTGAATGCTTCATCCCTGGCAGTGTTCAAGGCCAGGTTGGACAGAGCCTTGGGTGACATGGTTTAGTGTGAGGTGTCCCTACCCATGCAGAGGGGTTGGAACCAGATGATCTTAAGGTCCTTTCCAACCCTAACTGTTCTATGATTCTATGATTCCTGAGATTGAGCTCTGGGCTGCCTCACCTATGTCCAGGCTCTGGCTGTGCTGTGGCTGCTGCGCAGAGCCAGCTATGAAGCTGTGCAGGCAATTCCCCATGCTAGCAGAGATACACAGCTTCTCCTCGTGGGCAAAAAGTCCCTCTGTCTTTTTCTCTGCCAGCAGTTGCTGTAGGAAAATCCTGCTGTGATCTGCTCCTAGCAGTGTGAGTGAATATCCATGGGCAGGGGGAGTCCGGGCCCTTGACACAGGGGGAAACTCAGTGGCAGTGAAGGCTGAGACGCGGCAGGTAGTAGATTTAGTGGTGTGTTGAATGCTGCCAGTTATCAACCAGGGAAGAATTGAGCCAGATCCCAGGAGAGCATAACGGTGCCTTAAAATCCATCTGGCTTTTTAAGTAAGAATCAGGATCTCTCAGTTTCTGTGGTGGAACATGGCGGTCATATGGGGTCTGCTGCATTTCTCCTGCCACATGGAGAACCCCAGCAACTGGTCATAAAGAGGACAGTGTCATACGGGGCCAAATGTAGCCCTGTCTCTCAGGGACAGGCCTCAAGCTCTGCTCCAGGAAGAGCACCTTGCATGTGGAGGGTTCTGCATGGCTGGAGCAGAGGGCAGCAGCAGCACCAGGCTATGCTGGGTGCACATCTGCTGGCAGCCCTTGCAGAGCACAGTGTGAGCTAAGCTGCCTGGGGACACTGGGTCTCAGGAGCTGCCCTGTTGTCCCTATTGCTCTTGGGACACCAGAGAAAGAACAGGAAACAGCTGTGCTGGGGAGCAGAGTGTGTGACCTCAGGTGGCCCCATCGTGTCCTGGGGATGGCACCACACAGCCCTGCTACTGCGCAGGGGCCAGGCACATGCTCAGGTCCCTGTGTTAGCCCCATGTTCACCCCATTGTGCTACGCTATGGTTGTACCCAGGGGAACAGCCCCCAGCAAGGTGTTTCTGAGAGTGCAGAGCTGGACATGGTCTGGAGGTGCGGATCTGCTCTGGGCCACCTGGAGCCAGAATAATTTCAGTACCCTTCCACAGAGGAAAGGGTGCTGTGTCTCTAGCACATCCCTCTCTTGACTAGTGTGCAGAAATCAATGCCTGCAGCAGCACAGCCAGCAACAGGGTAGGCGATGGAATGAAACCCTTCCTAAAAACTGTTCTCAGCTGAGACACTTCTCTGGGATCACACCAGCTGCTCACAAGTGGGGAGCCACCTCGGCATCCCTTGGAATAAGACAGAGGGATGGCTGATACCCTCTGGCTGGTGATCTGTGTGGATCTGTGCCTAGATCCCAACACAAAAAGCTGCCAGCTCTCTACTGGAAGGTGTTGGTGCAGTGGGATGCACCTGAAACCTGCTCCCTGCTGCCTGCAAGAAGGCTGCAGGGCAGAGTAAACACGTGGGGCTGAGATCAGTGCATGTTCAGGACCCCAGAAGGAGCATCAGGACCCCAATCTGCTCCTTTTTTACAAGGCTGGGAATAAGCCATGATCTCTGAGCCAGCATATCCAGGGGCTTCAGTTGGGCTGGCTCTGGAGTACTTGTAGGAAATGCATTCTCCTCGTGGAGCCTAAAGGGAGCTTCAGCTTCTGGTTACTCCCTGCATCTTCGGATCAAAACGGAAAAGCTGCTGTGTTCTTCAAGCTATCAATAAGTGGAAATAAACACTATGTGCTCCTTTGGTCTGCACTTCTTATTGTGGGGAATTAATAGCTGCATTTTGCAAAACAGCCCCACTGAAGAGGGGTTGAACAGAAAAGGCCATTCTTCCCTTGCTGGTGTATGTCTCCAGCATTTCCCAGCCTGAGGGGTAAACATCTCCAAACAGATCTGCAAAACAGCTCTGTTCCCATCTGATTTTGGAAGCAACTCACTGTTTAACCAGGGGTTGGAGCTCTCTGGGGAGAAATGGAGCTTTGCATTCACCTGGTCCCTTCCCAGCTCCCTCCAGCCAGCCTCCTTCGGCTGAACACTGCACCCAGGTAGAACAGGAGCAGCACAATGCAGAATTCTGCTAGCCAGCTGCCATAGGCTTTGCTACTGATTGAAATCATGCTGGAAAAAAGGATGCTGCAAAGCTGGCCAGGTGACCCAAAAGAGTGAGTAGGACCCATCCAGCTTCCCCAAAACCCATCAGAAGTGATTGGCCCCACTTAAAAGGCTGCCAAGGAGACATGCTTGTTGTCACATGGTGCTTAAAAGCATTTCTCCCTTTTTGCAGGACCCTCCATAGTGACCCCTCCTAAGGACATCTGGAATGTGACAGGAGCACAGATCTACCTGAGCTGTGAGGTTATTGGCATTCCAACCCCTGTCCTCATCTGGAACAAGGTAAGGGCCCTGCTTGGAGCAATTAGAGCATTGCAAACCTGAGGCAGCTGAAACTGCTTGGTAAGCATAAAGGCTGTAGCAGATTCCTCCTTGGAAACACTCATCTTTGATGAGTTCTCCCACATGTGCAGTTCTGTCCACCCCCAAACATCTGGCTTTGCTTAATCTTTAGTCACTGCTTTCTCTAACCTCTGTCTGATCCCGAGGCAGAGCAGGACTTGTGCTTGTCTTGGTAGCGCCTGTTATTCTGAGCATGCCAGGAATGTGCCTTGACCTGCCATCACCCTGCTGACGGCAGCGACTCCGGGGTGTCTGGACACAGGTCGCCCACATCAGGAGCAGGAACCACATGGGGCAGTCCTCTCCCTTAGCTGGCTGTATGCTGGTTTTGGCAGTGTTGGTAATGTCTGGCTTAGGGCAGGCCCAGCACTAGGCAAAGAGGGTCCCAAACATAAGGCTAAGAGACACTGCATAGCCCTGTAGCCTCTTCAAATGCCACAGGTTTGTCAACACGTGGGCTGGGTCTTTAAGATGAAGCAATACTACTTTAAGAATATGGCCCAAATATTACTCTGTTCTGAAACAGTAGGCTTTATTCATAGTGCTCCCAAAGCAGACTCTTGCACGAGCATACAGTGTAGGCATGTTGTCTCAAGCAGGATTTTCTGCTTATATACAAGCAGATGCCTTGTTTACACTGACTCTCAGTGCTGATCTGCTTTTTGTGCCTCTTCCTCATGGCTGAGAGACTGCTTGACCTGGTGATAACAAGGGCCGAGCACCACTTATCCCACGCTCTGCTCTGGGCTCAGATACAGAGCACTGGGGAATGACTGCACTGCTGCTCTCACGGATGCTGTGTCCACCACGAAGGACTGCCTGGTTTGCTGCAGCAGAAGCCTGCAGGGCTGTTGCTGGCCTGTTGGGAAGAGGATAGATGCTCTCCCTGCATCCCTATCATCTAACTCTCATGTGGGGAGAGCCCATTCTAGGAGCAACATGCAGACACTCAGTTCTCTGCTATTGCCACTCTAAAAAGCCTGATCATCAGGAGTCTTTCCAAACAAGGATCGCAGTCAGCTCCAGCTGTCCCTACAGTCCCGAGCCAGAAGGTAACTACTCCAGTCTGCTGCAGGAAGCCAAATCCTCCTTGTTCAGCACAGACATCATTCGATGGGTTAAACACTGCCTTGGGAACATGCACCCAAGTTCCATGAGACCAAGTTTGTGCAGGGCATGTCTGCACGCCCCAGAAGGCTGTGCTGCTTTACTTGTTCCTATTGAGGCAAAAGGAATGCAGCCTCAGTGTAGACACTGAAGCATTGGGGTAGTGAGGCTGCAGTACACAGAAGGTGAAATGCTGGCACTAGAAAAAACTGGCACCTGCCACTTGTGTGTGGTACTGCACAAAACACATTCATTCATGTAAAAGTAGTGCTGATCTTTCCTGTATGCAGGTGTGGTCCTAACAGTTCTAATATAAATTAGCCCCAAAACTCTTCACCCTCTCTGCTCTTCTGTTTAGATAATTCGGGGTCAGTATGGTGTCCAGAGAATGGAGCTTCTGCCTGGAGACCGGGAGAACTTGGCTATCCAGACCCGAGGGGGCCCCGAGAAACATGAAGTGACTGGCTGGGTGCTTGTAAGTACTTTGTGTGTGCACAGACCAGCACAAACAGCACAAGTGCAGGTTGCAAACAGCCCATGCACAGAGAACAGCACAGAAGTCACATGGCAACAGGCAGGACATCTAAAGGAAGATAACCTGTGTCTCACCCATTGCAGTTTTTCACCTCTGTCACACACAGCAGAAGCATGTATTCTATGATTGGAGAAGGCTAGGCTTAAGTAAAGGATCTCCTTTCCATATATCATTCCTTTTCTGCTGCCATTATGGGAAGGAGACCCTCACCATGTCTAGGGAGGAACTGATACAGATGCCTGAGAGTAGCACAGCTCAGAAGCTGTCAGCTCTCACTCAACAGACCTGGGCTACAGGAGTACCTGCAGGCTAATCGGCACTTGCCACACATCAGGGGGAGCTGCTGTGCATCCCAGTAAGGGAACTGCAAGTATGATGGCTCCCAGAGCAGGGGATCACAGGTTAGGGTGGTGGTTCCCACACCATTTGCAAAAGCAGAGGTGGAAACAAGGGAAAGGAGGTGGAGACAAGCCACCGAAATCTGAACCAGGTTGTTTAGAGCAGACAGAAGAAAGCATGTTGTCAGTGTGGTCCCTCAGGGTTAACTCTACTTCACACAGCAGATACCTTAAAACAGAAGCACCTTTACCTGTGCACAGGATACTTACTGGGGAGATGTTTCTTTCTCTAGATATCTCCTCTGAGTAAAGAGGATGCTGGAGAATATGAGTGTCATGCATCAAATGCCAAAGGAGAGGCAACAGCTTCTGCAAAAATCCACGTTGTGGAAACTCTGCATGAAATAGCTCTGACCAAAGGTAAGTAATGTGGTTGGACACTCTTCAGCTCTTTCCTCTCAGAGTTTACTCAGTTATTTGGTACAGAAGGACCACCTCTGTTCAGAACATTCCCCGCAAATGTCAGCTGCCAGAGCTCTCAAGGGATTTGTTCAGTAATCCCCAAGTGCTGCAAAGTACTGGATATTAAGATACCAAATTAAACCCACTTTTGTTTTTCTGGGGGGAGAAGGGGGGTTTAGAAAGCAACTTTCAGTGGTTTTCCAGCCCTAAGTTTGTATTGTCCTGCCCATCTCTCCTGGGAGGAGTATTGTCACAACCAGTCCCAAGGGAGAGGGGAACTTAAAGCACTTAAATTCCTGCCAAGTCCCTGCACCTCCTTATTCTTTATCATCCTGGAAACATTCCAGTCCCTGCCATTCTCTCTGCATGCTGGAGTGTCACACCAGGGAGGGGACAGATAGGCCACAGCAGGCCTTTAGGCAAGACCTGAAGCTTTTACATTCCAGCCCTCAGCCACATTTCAAACCCAGGTCCTCTTTGCCAGGTTGCATGCAAAGCTGATGGCAAGCCAACCACCCTCATTACAGCTGCACAGAGGATGGCTTAGTACCACAGCCACATGTGCTTCAGAATAAATCCTGAGCTGGCATAGTAACTGTAACCATGCCAGAGGCACTGGGAACAAAGCATCCAGCTACGGAACACTGCTGCCTAAATCCACTTCTGGACATAGTCCTTAGTTTTAATCCCAGTAGCTTTGTCCAAACTATATAGTCTTGACTTTCTATATCCTTATATCCCTGAATAGATGAAAGACTTCCTTTAGGAGAACATTAACAGCACCTGGCATTGAAATAAGAACATAAAATGAATCACAAGATTACTTAAGCACAGGAACTTGCTAAAAGGTTTTTAGCTAGTCTGCAATCCCTTTTCAAACATCTTATTTATAGATGTGAATGAAATTGAGTTTTACTGAGTTGCGCCATGAGGAGCACACTTATACCCCAGAATAGATGATGTTCACTTCCCCTCTCACAGCAACAATACTGTGAGGTTGTACTACTGCATGTATTGCCTCATGGTTTATTTCTTACATGCACACTGTGTTACAGCTGTTTCTTTTCAGCTGTAGAAAAGCTCTCAAGCAAGCATGCCGTAGCTAAGCAATAAGTTGGCAGTAGGCAATTAAAGGAAACTGATAATGTTAATGGAACAAACTGTCAGACTCCAAAGCGACACACTGTGCAGTTAGGGAGTCTGTGTCCAATGTCCAGGTGATCTCAGCTCAGAAAAATGCCATCTCTTACCATCCCCCTGCTGCTGTGGTCCTGCAGTAGGGAGGGAGGAAGAGAGAAAAGGAGGGAGGGAGGGAGGCGGGCAGGAAGACACGCTGCTACTGCCCAAGTTGTGCTATCACCCTTGGAACAGTGCAGAGCATAACATGTTTTTGTTTTTCCACAGATGATGGTGCAGAGCTGTGATGTGAGGAGTTGCACTTATGCACAGTTTTAAGTTAGTATGATGGAAAACTGTACCCTCTGGCTTTTTCTAGCTCACTAATCATCCCCTTGACCCCCTTGCTCTTTGATAACCAATTTGCTTGCACACTTCTTTCACAAATACACAAATAAAGGAGATTCACAACCCTGATTACAAATTTTAATTCTATTTACAGGAAATAAACATATGTTTGAAGAGCACATAGCAGACGAGTAAAACTGTAGTTTAAATGCAACCTACACAAAGTGAAACAAAACCTGAGCACTTCAGTCTCATCATTAAAAAAAAAACCACAACAAAAACCAAACATTTTTAAAGGCTAAACACTCATCATACGAGGTGCAATACTCATAGACATCAGTTCTTGGAAGAGGAGTTTGCAGGCATAGGGCATCCGAACCAAAGATATCTGAAAGAGATTTTAAAAGGCTTGTGATAAGCACTCCTAAAACATCAACTTCCACCACCCTCTACACAAATAACTTCTTGGGTTTTTGGCTCTAAAGTGCCCCTGAAGTCATGCATTAAAGCATTTAACAGGAATTGCTCACAGACAGTAACAAAGCAAGAGGAGAGCTGAGACTACTTATAGAGGCTACACAGAAGCTATCCAGATCACACTTTTAATGTGAAAACCTGCAGCCAAGGGATATGATCCTAAACAATAGCTATTTAACAAGGGAAAATCTGCAAAGTGTGCCTGATGTGCAGTAAATGTAGTGATGATTTCCAGCACACATCTCTTCAGTAACCTCAAGGCCATTTTAGAATTGCAACAGTCAGTCCCCAGCACAAGAACAAGCCTATTTAAGGCAACTATTTTTATCTCTGCTGCTACTTTCCCTCGACGTAGTTCTGTTACCAAGCACACACTACAGAGCTTTTTCTCTATTAACAACAAAAAAAGTGCAACACAAAAGGCCTCCCATGGGGACTGAGCTCTGCAAGCATAAATATCTTCATGGGGACTGTCAAGGGCGATGGCTCAGAATTCCTGATTCTGAGGTTCACTTCCAAAAATAAGCTCTCAAGTGTCTAATTTTAAAGTCTCAGAAAACTCCGCACTGCAAAACACTTGAACAGCATTTCCTGCCAAGTGGCACGCCAACACTGTAAAATTAATAACAAGACATTCAAATTAACTAGGATGCTATAAACACTTAAACCAGTTACGAAACTAAAATAGCAATTGTTCTGGTGCTTCTTTAAATATTTACTTCCCTATGCTCCTGTTCACCCGAGCAGTGTTTCCTCTCGCCCGCAAAGAGAAACAGTGGCTGATGAAAACCACATGTACCTGAGTTTTATTACGGCATCCCCGGCATTCGTAGGTGTGAGTCCTTGTGTTTGCAATCGCCATGATGCCGCAGAGATTGCAGACATGGACTTGGTATGGGTCTGAAGCTTCAAACAATCGCTCTCTCAAGAACTGGGCTGCTCCATGAGCTATCTGGCAATCTCGTTCCATTTCTCCAAAACGAAGGCCACCATCCCTGAAAAGAGGAGAAAAACAAAACAACTTCTGAGTTCACTGGCAAAACACACCACTTCTTGCTGGTGAACAAGTAACTTATCAGAAAAACCACAGCAGTATTACAAGGTAGAAGCTGTGCAGTAATTTAACACCTCAGAATAGCGTTAGAGAGAACATGAACACAGTAATTCATAACTGCTGCAGAGCAGCAGAGCATTTCTAAAGCAGATGTCAGACAGCTGACAGCCACAGCACAACCACATAGCAAAATGAGGTAAACATCATTCCCTTCTTATCTGTGGTCGGTTTAACCTTGGCTAGCTGCCACATGCCCATCAAATAGCTCTCTCACTCCCCCATGTCAACAGGACAAAGAGCAAAAATAAGATGGGAAAAGCACATGTGTCGAGATAAAAAACAGGGAGATCGCTTACTAATTGCCATCACAGGCAAAACGGACTCAGCATGGAAATTTATTTATTGCCCATTAGAAATGGAGCAGGATGGTGAGAAACAAAAGACAAAACTAAAAACATCATCTCTCCTACCTCCTTCCCAAGCTCAACTTTACCCTTCATTTCCAACTCTCTCCTCCCCTCAGTTATGGGGGAATTACAGTATGTAACAGTTCCTCTCCACCACTCCTAACTCCTCACATTCTTTCCCTGCTCTAGCACAGGGTCCCTTCCCAATGGGATGGTCCTTCTAGAACTATTCCAGCACAGGCTCTTCCCATGGGGCCCACAATCCTTCAGGAAGAGATCACAGCTCCTGCCAGGAGCCTGCTCCAGCATGGGCTTTCCACAGGCTGCAGCATGGATAGCTGCCCCATGGGCTGCTGTCAGACAACATGCTTCACCAAGGGCTGCACGGCAATCACCTCCAGTGGCTGGAGCGCCTCCTCCTCTGACACGGGTGTCTGCAGGACTGTTCCTTTCACATTTTCTCACTCCCTCCTCACAGCTACTGCCCAGCGGGTTTTACCCTTTCTTAAAGGTTGCTGATGGGTTCAGCTTTGGCTAGAGTGGGTCTGTTTGATCCAGCTGTAAGCGGTTATGTCTAGCACAGGGCAACAGCTGGTCCTTTCTCAGAGAGGCCACCTCAGCAGTACCCCTTGCTAACCAAAACCTTGATACCTGCACTCAACACATCAGCTGAACACATAAAAATGGATGGCTAATTGGGGTGAGCTAATTCAGTTCTAGCTGCAAAGTTGAGGCAGTTAATTTTTAGGGGTAAAAACTTTGAAGAAAAAGAAAACACTGTATAGAAACTAATAAACATCCTTACCGAGATCTACCCTCCATGGGCTGTCTGTTAAGTATCTGGATAGGCCCTCTGGCACGAGAATGGATTTTGTCATCTACCATGTGCTTCAACCGCTGATAGTATGTAGGACCAATGAAGATCTGTGATGTGATTTTTCGACCAGTGAAGCCATTGTAGAGAACCTGAAGTAACCAATGCAATTACTGAATCACAAGCCCTCCTATCCACCAAATGTATATTAAAAACATCACAGTGAAATGATACTGTGATTATACCTCATTTCCTCTTAGATGATAGCCATAATCTGATAAAAGATTGGAAATCTTCTGCACGTTGACAGCATCATTAAAAGGTGTCGCATCACCAATCTCTCCTTTGTTTGCAGACACCTATGGAGGTTTGCAAAAGCCTGTCAGATTTCTGAATTTCTTTCAGACAACAGTAAGCTTTTTCAAACAGTTTTCACAGAACTTGAGGTACCATGCCCATGATAGTGCCCTATCTTGCCTTGTTTATTAACTGCACAATTTATAGCAAGATTTTAACAAAAACAAAGTATCAGCAATTTTGCTACTCCTTTTCCTAGGTCACAGGAAATGTATGGAATAAAAGCAGCATTTTTATAATATATTATTTTTATAATATATTTTTCTAATAAAAGGATCTTCAAAGATGGGAGAGCACACTGTAATCTGACTTGCTGAACAAAATTTACCGGACTGTAGGACTTCTCCAAGAAACCTGCTTTTGCTATTGTAACTAGAAAGCAATCCTTATTTTCTAGTGGATTAACACCTACCTACCAGGGAGTAGTATCTTAAAAAAATACCCCTGAAGTTAAAAGAAAAATCATATTGCTCAGACATACAGCATAAAAGATTCTTCTTACCTTCCCCTGGAGACACTCAATCAAGTGACCAATGGTCATACGAGAAGGGATGGCATGGGGGTTGATAATTATATCAGGGGTGATGCCTTCACAGGTGAAGGGCATATCCTAGAACAGGGAAACAGACAGTCAGTACATCCCAGAATATCATCTTTAAGAAAAGCAGTTGCATGGCTTCAAATAAAATCTTTTAAAGCATTTCAAAGGTACTAAGTACAACGTAAGAAGCAGCTGTGTCTCTTTCTAAACATATTTTAGTTAACTTTAAGTCAATACACTGCACATGAGTAGATATTCTACAGACAACTCGTTTAAGGCAGTTCCAATGCTAAGATCATCAGAAATAAAAAGTTAAAAAGTGGGGAAAAAAAATCACTACCTCTTGCCTGTACTGGATACCACAGGTTCCTTTCTGACCATGTCTGCTGGCAAATTTATCTCCAATTTGTGGGATTCTCACAGAGCGTACCTGTAAGCCACAGGAAAACATTCAGTAGGTAACTTAAATATGGAACAAAACTGATTAGAAGTAGTAAGCACACATGCCAGTGCTCACCCTGATCTTGCAGAACTTGTATCCTTCCTGGTTAAGGGTTACCATGACCTGATCTACAATGCCAGTCTCACTAGTTCGCAGGAAAGTGCTGCAGTCCCTCTTTGTGAAACGTCTGTTGGTGCTTTCCAGTTCATCTTCATTCTCTGGCAGTGTCACTGTTTTGCCAATGATGACATCATCCCCAGACACACGTACCCCAGGTGCTATCAAACCATCATCATCAAGTTTGTCATAGATTGCATGTCTCATACCTTGAGGGAAAAAGGAAAAATAAAAGTAGGCTCCCAAACTGTTCAGCATACTGGACTTGACAATCAGCACAAATTGAACAAGCTTGCTTGCAACTTCAGACTACTGAGAAAATGTTGCATGGAAGTATGTTCAGACATCTCAACTGATGTATCTTGCTATTAATACAAATATTTCTCACACTTTATATGTCCCAAAATAAAGACTGAACCAGCTCAGTGACACTGCCCACAAAAATCTGATTTAAAAACTCAGTCTTCAAACACTCCTGTATCTCACCTTGGCAAGTTTCGCGTGTAGGCTTCTCAAAAACTTCCTCTTGGTCATACCCTTTTTTAGACTCCTGCTCTTTGTAGGAGCGATAGAACACAGATCTGAAACAAAGTCATAAAGCCTTTGCATCATTCTTTCTCATCTCAATTTCACTATAAACACAATTTTATCACATATTAGACCTCCTGCTACTAATGAAAACCAAATTAAATCACACAACCTTTCCTCTAAAGCCTTGTTAATCAGTGACCATCACTGAGGAGGGAAAAACAAAACCAAAAACATCCCACCACACGAACAAAAACCAGTTTCAGATGGCATTTTGATGGCCACTTTTCAGATACTGCCAAAGTACCTATAAATAACATGCTAATTTTTGATGAACTACAGACTGCTTGATATCTCATAAATAGTTCTTATTCCTAGATTATGCACATTTT